GACGCACTTCGGATGACGGAAAAGTGTAATGAAAATGGCGATTTTGATATATTTGAAGGCAATAATTTTATTTATGAAGACTAACAGAATAAAAATGTTTATAGACCATTTAAATAAAGCTATTTAACAAAAATTACATTTATTTTCATCAAAACTGACTAGACAAGACGCGGGTTTCTCTGGGCGAAGTTTTCTCAATATCTAATACATGCAATGTTTTCTCTCAATATTGAGTACTCAGTTATAAATTGTAAACATAGTGTCAGAGGCAGAGTATTGCATTAAAGCACTCATGAGTAATTTACAATGAATAGCTTCGCAAAGTACTCATAATAAGTATCTCATATGAATGATACTTAAAACAAATATTTGCTTTCGCAAATTTTAGAGAGTACCTACTCGTGAAAAAATCAAGTAACGAGTATAAGTATATTAACTTATTCCAGTTAGTGACTAAAGATGTTATAAATATGGCTTAAATCCATGAATTCTTCGTTAGTTCATTCTAATTTTTCTAATATACATTTACGTATTTGCATTTACAATACTGTGAATAATGATTAATGATTTAATACCTAAAACTCAATTAATTTATATAAATGGATTCGTATTTATGATCATTTTATTTTTGGACAGTCAGCACCAAACGCCAACTTGCTAAAATGCACTGTACAAACTGTCTGGCAAAACATAAAATAACAATAATAGTAAGCAGTGTAGTGTAGTGTTTAGAAACATTAAAAATAGATCAAGATTCTTTTGTTATTTATGGTAATCTTAAAAATCTTAAAATATTTAAAAAAATTAAAACAAATAACATTGTTATATAAATTATTTATTGATTAACTACAAATAGGTACCTAAATAGTATATACAGTGTGATCTATAATTGAGGAATTCCTTCATTGTTTCCTATACTAAAAATATTTCTATAAAACCTTTTTATTATTAAAATCCCTTTTTTGGCGTAATTATGAAAGAGATTAAGTATACAAATTTAGGATTTAATAAGTACCAAGGGATTAAGACAATTAGGAGTTTTATGGTTATTTCCATAGATAAAGACGGTAGGAACAGTTTATTTAAAATGTTATAAAAGTAATCTACCTGAGGATTATGAATTATTTTGGAGCAATTAAGGGTTTAAAGGGTATTTTCACAAAAGGTTAGATAGGTTATAAAATATGTTTATGCTAGTGCCCAAACGTCCAGCAGTTAAAAATCTGGTGCCCAAAGGACGGCGGACAAATGTCGGCGGACAAAGGGTGGCGCCCAAACAGCGGCACCCAAACAGCGGCGCCCAAACAGCGGCGCCCAAACAGCGGCGCCCAAATGTCGCGTACCGCTCAGGAGTACCTACTTTGAGTACTTAATTACATTTTTGAGTATACTTGTACTGCCCAGCTGTGTATAGTGTATTTTTGTTATTAAGATTTTTACAGATTAAAATGTACATTTTATAGTTATAATTATCCCGGGCATTTACCATTGGGCTAGTAGAAGTCCACCAAATGGCCACTTCAAAAAAATGGGTCACCTCTCGGCGATGTTAATAACCTATAGAACTTTGATGATCTGAGAAGATGGATGTCTGTAGTCTGTAGACACCCCTCAGCGTCAACCAGCAGGTTTTTTTTGAGTTAACAACCTGCAGGACTTTGATTAGTTGAGAAAATGGCTGTTTGTAGACACCCCTCAGCGTCAGCTAGCAGGTTTTTTACGGATTGATAATCTGCAAGACTTTGATGAGCTATGAAGATGCAGCTGTCTCACAGCTCTCAGAGGCAGGTGTTATATACCCCTGGAGGAAGTATTCACCCTTCCCACCTTACAGATACAGATAGTTTATAATGTGAATTGAAACTAATGTAGAATGTTGCTATGAAATTAAAATGTTCATTTTGACAAAAAATACCATGTAGTCCAATTTATAAGAGAGCAGCAATTTATAAAATTAAATTTATTTATTAAGTTAATTTTAAGAAAACTTTGTTCTTCATAATTGATAATAAATTTTTAATATATTATTTAGTGTTTTTTTATGTTTTATGGCTCAGATATTCACAATATATCTCAGTTTATGATTTTACGTGTTTTGTGTAGGCTTTGTTACTGTTTCCCTATTATAAAATTGTTCAGATCTCTTAATATTATTTGACGATATGGATACTCAACATTACAACACGAAAAAATATGTGTTTAAAACACCTTACATAATATCGTGTCTTGAAGAAAAATAGGACATTTTTTTTGATTCTAAATATTCAAATGCTGAAATTTTATTTTAAAACACGTTTGGGCCAGAACGATTTTATTCAGTGAACACTTGTAAAGGCGCTTTTCGTAGTCCTATTTAAATATGGGTCAGCAATCTTTATAACGATATACAGGGTGAGTCGGGAGGAGCGCACCAAACTCTAGGAGTATATTATACACGTGAAAATAATGTAAAAAGACTCATATGTTCTTATCCGATTTTCATTTGTTTTCAAGTTATAGCATATTAACAAATAAACAAAGTTACACATAAAAATTCTCTTAATCATAGCGTTCTTTCAATAAATGTTCAAAAATACCGCCATTGACTTCTAAACATTTTATGCTTCGTCTACGAAGAGCGTTTGTTGCTCTCCTAATTGAGTCATTTCTTTCTTCTTTAATATGGGCTGCAGTATTCTCAATTCGTCTAATCAGTGCATCCCGTGTGTCCACTTTTATTTTGTAGACTTCATTTTTCATCCAGCCCCATAAACAAAAATCTAATGGTGTGAGGTCTGGAGATCTTGCAGGCCAATTAATAGGACCTCCACGACCAATCCAACGCCCTGGAAAACGTTCGTCCAAATGTTGCTTGATCTGACGAGCGACATGTGCAGGAGCTCCATCGTGCTGATAGTACATCTGCATTCTAATATTTACAGGAACATCCTCTAGCAGGCCTTGTAATTCATTTTGTAAAAAATTGAGGTAGTTGTCTCCTGTGAGACGATTCTCCAAAATGAAAGAGCCAGTTAAATAACTGTCAACCATACCACACCACACGTTTACAGAAAACCGATGTTGAAAATTGCTTTCGACTGTTGCGTGGGGATTTTCGTTTGACCATACATGATAGTTACGAGTATTATTAATGCCATCACGGGTAAATGTAGCTTCATCCGTAATCCTGTGTTTTTAGGTGCTGTACTCTCTGTACGTGATAAGGATATAAGCCTTGCTCGTGGAGTGTGTTTATCACTCTTTTTTGTGGAATTCACAATTGAGTGGCAATTCTCCGTGAGCTAGTAGTTGCATCTTCTTCTACTAGATGCAGAATATTTTCTACTTCTACAGAACCTTTTTGAGTGATCTCCTGTTGATTTGATTTCATCGCTAGTTCCATTCTTTTTTGAACTTGGCTAAACCGTACTGACGAAGACCAATAGTCAGAAACACGTGTCTGCGGTTTGTCTTTAAGCTTTTTTCATTTTTTTGCGGTATTTGCCCAATAAAGTAATAAAATACAAAAAATCACTTATAAACTACAAAAATAAGCTAGAAATTAATGAAAGTCAAATATCAAATGACACTTTCGAACGATTTGACATGCCAAGCAAAACGAAACAGACCAATGGGAATGCTGGACACTATTTTTCCCCCCTGTACCAAAACAAAGTCCATTTGGCATTTGGCACAATCTTCCCACTGGCAGTTCATTTGTTTGAAATGCCTAATACAATATATGACAACCGCCTATTATGCATTCCAACGACCTGTCCAAATGGCTACCAGTGGGTACTGACAGTTTAGAAATTAGGCATTCCAACGACCTGTCAAACAATACCTGCCAGTGGGAAGGTCTCGTATATCTAAGGGGGGGTAGCGACATATCTTGCATCTTGGACGCTATTTTTATTTTAAATACCAGTCGCCAATCCTGCTAGTTTTTAAAAAAATGCACAAGCAGTTTTTTTAATTAATATTTTTATAGTGTTCGATATAAAATATTTAAATGTAATCCATTATTCATGATTTTACGTATTGTAGATAGAATACATCGTATGTCGCAACCGTCAGATCTACCAAACCTGCCCACTGGCAATTCATTTGTTTGGAATGCCTAATAGCAACCCTGCTGTCATGTTGTCATTAACAGAGTCAATGATACATATATAGTTATATAGATTGCTCAAAGCTGTTCGTTTGCGAGCGGCCATATTGCCTGGCAAATATTTATTAATTTGAATCAATTTAGCAAAAATGTGTTTTAAAACCAATTTTCAGCCTTTGGATATTAAAAAAAATTCTTACATTTTTACTTCAAGACATAAGCTTATGTTTATTTTGAAAAATATGGATGTTCAATCTATCTAACTATCTATTTCATTAATCTTGTCAAATCACCAGGCCTACAGGGTTGCCATATTTTTGCCATATCATAACCTGTCAAAACCCACTGGTAGCCATTCAGTGTGGAATGTCTAATATTCAAACAGCAGTCTTCTGCGATTCCTAAATTTGTATCCCTGGAGTGGATGTTATTTTGGAACATCCAACTGGTCCGAGTGAACTTACTGATTCTTTAGCTATAAACTGGGCTAATACAGACAATTGCCTTCGAGGACATCAGTTCAAGCTAAAAATTGAAAAATTTAAAGCCAGTACAAAACAAAACTTCTTATCAAATAAAGTTTTTGCCACTCGCAATAATTTGTCACCTGCTACTGTTGACGCTGAATCCGTTAATATATTTAAAAATAGACTTGATTTATTTCTCGGCAATTAAGACTTTTTCTCTGTATTTCTTACATTTTGAATTAATTTTAGTTTTTGTATTTTCACATTAAAATGGACACTTAGGTCTTTCGACCTCTTTTCTTATTTATTTGTAATAATAATAATGATGATAATAAACAAACTCCGTCCCTGTTACAGAGTTCGGGTTTCCTGCCAGTTCCCCTACTCTGTTAACCTTTCTTTAGAAATTAGGCAAACCAAATCACATGATTTTAAATGGCGGACCCTTGGCAGAAACAACAAAAGTACGTGCTTAACTTAACAAAAGACATCTAGTGAGGCTATTTGTCTAATACATGAATAATAATTGTATGATATACAATAACAGTCAAATAATGTCAAATACTAATGAAAAAGTCAGGTTAATAAACTTTGTTGTTTTTGCCAAGCATGCGCCATGTTCGTCCATTCTGACAAAACATTGGATTATCTAATTGGTAACATTCGCTCAGGGTAAACACAGGGGTATGTTACATCCCTGGTCTCTTTAATCTAAGTGTCGTCTCTACTTCATTCTATCTCGATGATGTTCACACAGAACAATTGACGTACGTTCAAAATATGAAGACTGTTCAAAATTTGACTATTCTTCAAATCACGTTAGAACAGTGCCTTCGATTTTTTGATAAAATTAATTTTTAAAATCTCTTCTGTAGAATTTCAAGTGGGTTGATGTGGACTCTAAGTGCACTGCCTCAGACCACCATTCCATACTACTGATGACTATCAACCAATGCAAAATATAGCATTTTCATTGCTTTTACTGGTAGGTGTTCATTCAGGTATGTACTTAAATATCTATAAAATTGATTGTAATTTTTTATTACAATTTTTTTATGAATGTCCCATTTAAGATAAGTATCGATGATTATTCCTAGTTATTTGATAGTTTTTATAGCTTTTACTATAATATCCTATTAAAAAATTAAAAATTAATTTCTCATTGAAACGCTTTAACCATCAACGTGAATATTTCAGATTAAACAAATCACCCACAATACTCTTGATAATTTTATATAGGTGGAAAAAATGTCAGCTATGCCTTACGGCCGCAAGTAAATATTTAATCAGGAGCGGAAATATGTTTTCTGTTCGTTTTCCAAACACCTTTTGTTTTATTTATCGTGGATTCGTGCAGTGATTCAATTGTTAATGATTCAACGGAAAATTATAACTTTTCCAATAAAACGTGCATTCATAGATGCGGGTGGAACTCGAGATCAGTATGAAGACGTTCAATTATTTTTGGACGCATAGGATATATCAGTGTTTGGCTGCAATTTCAGGTATTTTTATTTTTTATTTATTTATTATTTATATGTTTATACAGCCAACAGGCTTTATCAGCCCAATTACAGGAGCTTATAATATGTTTCGATACGCAAAATTTTGAGAATTCAAGTATTTATTTAACTAAATTACATTTTAACTATCTAATTCAGAGGTTCTTAATCTTTTTGTGATGAGGGACCATGTTTTCTGCAATGGACCATGAACAATTTATGGAAACAAACTACTATTTATGACAGGGTTGAATTAAAGAAAATCATATAATAGTGTTAGTAAGATATTTGTGACAGCATGCATTTAACCACTTGTTGAGTTCTTAATTGTGTTGCTTAAAGTCAAACTCAAGTCGGCTCTGGCGTCCAAACTATTTCTGGATATATTTTTAAATATTAAGGGCAGAAAGTCACTGCTCTCACAGATACGTGGTAGAAAACAAAGTCAGGTATCGCAAAGCAATTTGTCGAATTTTCGGAACGGAAATTGTTTTTGACTTCTTTTAGAATTCTTCAATTTTAATTTCTTTCGAATGTATCCTTGCAGTTACTATTGTGTTGCAATTCAATAACTTTTCTTGTATGTCATCGAGTATCTTGGAACATTGACTGACAAGGAAAGGGTTGCTGGCAGCGTTGCCAGTGTCAGTGCTAAAGTACTGAAATCAGTGCTTTTGGCCATTATCGGTACCTCAGTGCTACTTTTTATGCTTCAGTACCTTTTTTTGTTCATGACAACTAGTTTGCGGTAAAGTTTAAAAAAAAAAATTGTTTTGTATTCACTCTCACTAAAAAAACTTACTCTACATGCTTTGCTACTCTATAAATGTCATGGTCTATTGTTGTTTGTAATTTACAAAGGTCCATTTATTTGCACCACTAGTCATTAAGAAAATAGCCAATCTTAAAATGACATTTCTCCTTTGATAATGTCGTTTCAAGCTTTGCTTATTTCTTAACTACTAGCGGTGCGAATTGCCCAAAATCATCTGTGTGCAATCTACTTGACTCACACAGTTCAGATATATAACTTATTATTTATTATATATGTAAGAATAGAAATTAAGAGAGGCAGAAACTTGTATTCAGTAAACTCAGAACTTAGTATGTGAGCATAATATATCCCCTGTAGTAATGTTACTGGGAATAATGATATACAAGAAATTACTTTAAGTTACGCCAGTCACGAAGGTTCTAGCCTGGCGCTAAGTTGTACAATTTTCGGCAATGACAACTGATTTGTGCATTTTGTAATTAATTCCATATTTCGTTATCGTTAAATAAATGCAATTAATGCAAATGGCACTCACATGTCAAATTATATTTCTTTTAAACGTCATTATGCGCTTTTCATTTCAGATGGAGCTATTGTCAGTACTTTTTATTTTCAGTCAATACCACTGATCTGTATTATTTTACTGGATAGGATATAGCCCTCTAAAAAACGTTCCGAAAAATTGGCCGATTTGGGCAAATAATATGGCGGTCCGGATGTTATTTAACATAACCTCTATTTCCATTTGTCATTTAATTGTGTCAACAAGTTACGATGGGATGTTTTTTTATTTATTTAGGTAGTATCGAATAGCATTACTATATTCGTGAAGACAATATGCTTCACGTTTCTATTTTTATATTTTCTTTCATATAAAAATCAAATTATGGGTGAATTGTCCCGAAGGACATTGCCCGCAAAAGGAATAGAAGAAGAATAAGAAGAAAAACTAGTCAAATTATAGGTTAGGTATGTCAAATTATCCCAAAATTCAGTTATGTGATCCCACCATAATTTGCCCAAATCGGCCAGCAGTGTTGCACTTCCGGTCTCCTTGGTGGAACCGATTTTTAGTATGTTAAATATAGCCTATATCCTATCCAGTAAAATAATATAGATCAGTGGTCAATACCGTTTTCAGTATCACTGTTAGACTAGGTAATAGAGAGAGGACGCGTAACAAGTATATCAAGCACACATAGTATTCTGTGCCGATTATCTACTGGCCGCCATTATTTTGGTGCTAATCATTTCGGTGACACCAAAGTTTTTGTTCGTGTTTATTTCTGATTTTTGAATTAAACGACATTTAATAATTGGTTTATTACAATGGTTTATTGTGTGGCATATCAGTGTTAAAGTTATAGCGGCAAGAAATAAGCAGATATTGGGGTCTATTCTGTAACAATTCCTTTATATTTAACGGCCTTTAAAAATATTTTCTTCTTTACTTCTGTCATTATTTAAACGGATCTTTAAAATACATTAGAGGACTATCTTAAAGAAATCTGTTTAAATATTGATAGAAGTAAATTAACGAATACAAACATATTTTTAAAAGTCGCCAATACGTTTTACAGGTAAATGATAAACATCAATCGTTTTCACATTATATATTTTCTTATATTTTTCATTTTATTTTGTGTTATACAACTTGGTATTTACATATTGTACATGTCTCACTCCAGAGTAATAAATTTTACCCACTAAGTTTATTTATTTTATACTTTTCATTGATATTTAAGCAATTAATGATATTAAAATGGGTAAACATGTAATTTTTTCCAGTGGCGTACAATTCTAAATATTAACTTTTATTAAATCCTAATTTACTTTTGCTTTCTATTTAATTGCAGCAATGTTTATTTATATGCTACGAAGACATTAGTTACAGACGCTTTGGCTAAAAGTAATACCATAAAAGAAATTTTTGAACCGACCAAACTGGAATAATTTCTCATAGCCTCAAGTACTCGAAGTCATTTTTTAATTATTTTATCCAACACTGTCTGTGCTATCTGGGTAGTGTCATTCTTTATTAAGTAAAAATAATTCTTTTTGTAATACATGTAGATCATTATTTTGCGGAATTTAACAAAAAAAAACACTCATTTTATTATGTAAACAGTTTCATTCAGTTTATTTCTATATATATTTTTGTGTCTTATTTATTGTTACTTATTTAATTAAAATTTTACGCTTTGAACTTGCTTTATACCTAAAAAGATCAATGAAGTAATAATAACATAAATACAAGTTCTTTTTTTGCAACATGTTACGCCTTTGGTCAAATATCATTGGTGTCAGAATGGAACAAAATTTTCAGCGACGTTATGAGTCCTCTCTTTATTACCTAGTCTAAGGTATCACTACAATACTTTTATTTTTCTATTGCTGACAACGCTGGTTGCCTCTATCAATGCAGTCAGGAAAATACCGATTGAATTTGTTTTTTAATTGTACAAGTGGAGTGTAATTTGTTTTTTATTTCTACTCGAATATCAGCCTGGTGTTCCCCAATAAGAGACTTCAGCATTTTATTATAGTGACATCGTTCAAAAAAAGATTATTACTTCGGTTCTTGAGTAAAAGCAAATCCGTTCTAGAATTGATAGAGGATGTCAACTTTAATAGATTTTTAAACGTACCCATCTCAAAAAGTCCTGCTAACTCCCTCCATTTACCTCAAATTTGATAAGCGGATTGTTTTGGATTTTATTGATTTTCTCAAAAACGGCAAGAGGTAGAAACATCATTTTGGTGCCATTCGATAGACCACAAAATTCTTCATAACGACTATAACTTAATTTTTGTTTAGGTTTTCAAGTTAAGACCCAATAAGTACAAAAATATGGTGGGAGGTAATTACAAAGACACATGTTATTATCATTTTTAAAACCACTTAAAAACAAACAAAAATGGAAGATACAAAAATTTTAGAATAGAGTTTTCTCTATCGATTGTTATAAAAACTTTTTTGGCAAACGTAAAATCCGCCTCTCAATATAAAAGAGCGGCCTTCGCTGCTGACCATTTTGTACCCGTAATGGCCGCGCTACCGCAGCAATTAATTAAAAAATTACTTCAAGTGCTTGTTGCTATGAGAAACTATTCCAGTTTGATCGATTTAAAAATTTCTTTTATGGTATTAATTTTAGCCAAAGCGTCTGTAACGAATGTCTCCATAGCATATAATTTTGTTTGAGTTATTGTTTTAAGGTGTTTTTCTAAAAAATAAGACATTATTAAAGTGAGGTTATGAAATTAAAAGGCAAATAAATTAAAACTTACAGTTTTCAATGATAAAGTTTTCTAGTTTCGGTGTACCACAGTTCCAATAATGGTAAATAAATAATATAAAAAGACAATATTACAGGGTGGCTCACGCTCAACGGGACGGAGCTTTATGGGAAAACGACCAAAGATATAAAAAATTCGTTTGGGAGGAATACGTAGGTTACAGACGGCTACAATTTAAAATTTGTTAGATGTATACAGAATGTCCCACATAAGAAAAAAAAAATTAGTTTATTAAAAATTATTCAAACAAGAGTAAACAATTAATTTCTGGGAGACTTTTTTGATGTAGTTTTTAATTCTAAAATAAAGAACAGGGTGTTCCATTAAAAATAATATAACTTTGTATATTTTCTCTTATGTGGGACATCCTGTATACATCTAACAAATTTTAAATTGTAGCCGTCTGTAACCTACTTATTCCTCC